AAGCAGTGTCATTTTTCAATATTAACTGGAGGCAATCATTATTTGATACAGTATTATTTATGCATTGGAATAAATTTCAGAGGCAACTCAAGTGCCTTGACAGATGTGGAGAGTATATAAAATGGTTTGGCATAATGATGAATAAAAGATGAATTCTAAAACAAGGGAAGGGGGGAGAGAGGAAGAGACAATTGAAAGTGAAAAAAAAAAGATGGAAAAAATTAAAGAGATGAATAGTAACACTTATACTGAATATTACTGTAGAGAAGTTGAAATACTATATCAATGAGGCATTTCTGTGATGTATACACAACTTGGCTGTAAAGCAATGGGAAGTGTATGGAAATTGCCAATTCAAAAAAGATTGGATATTATGGTTTCAGACTGCAAATTTGTTTTGATCAACTGCAACACAGACATTCCAACGCTACCTGTTCTAATTGTAATTCTTGAATGGCGGTGGACAATATGAGGATATTTTAATTATTTAAAACTTTGGACGGTTGATTTGTTTTCTGATGTTTGAAGTTACTAAAAGTATATCTGTTGAGCTCCCTGACAAATGCATTAGCATTACTATAGTATTTTGACTAGGATGTTTTATCTGATCTCTTTTTTCCAGTGCAAACATTTAAAGGAAATCATAAAAGTACAATGAAAACAACCCTCCTCTATTTGGGAAATATTTTGTTTTAAAGGAAGTCATTTCATTCTTTACTATCATGCCCAAATAATACAAAGGTGTGTCACCATCAATATATCAACAAAGAACATTTAAAAAGGAAAGCAACATTTCCTGCCAGCCCAACCAAAAGCGATGCTGTATTTTAGATAAGATAGCGAAGTCAATTGTTAGTGTAAGAGGAACACAAGGAAAATATTTTGCACCTGTCCAGTAATACAACATGCTCAGGCCTTTCACTTAGAGGTTAAAATCCAATGAGGGATTTAACATGCTCTAACATGCTCTATTAGAACTTGGAAAGACGAACAGCAAACAATAATGTCTTTACAAACTAGCAGTCTCACAGACACATTTATCTTTTTGAGAGCTGTGAAATCTTCAAAATCATAGCGTCAAAATCAATTCTGAACACTCAGGCTTCACATATCATGCTAAATCATAATACGGTTCATATCATAGTTTGTATCAGACCCCTATAGCTTTTTCAACAAACTTAGCCTCAGGGTTATGTTGTAAATAGTTGCAAGAATGGAATATTACCTCCAATAGTAAAAACACATTACCAACGGATCTCCTTAAATTGATAGTATGAGGTAGATTTCATTTTTTTCTGATACTGGTATCAATTTCATATTGATAGGACAAAGTATTGATTTTAAAAGTCTTTATAAGAATAGAACACTAAAAAGGCATGTGTTAATTGTAGACGGAGACCACGAGTTCCAGTCAAAGGCAACTGGGTAATCGTGGGCCAGTCACTTTCTCTCAGCCCTAGGAAAGAGGCAATGGCAAACCACTTCTGAAAAATCTTACCAAGAAAAGTGCAGTGAATTGTTCAGGCAGTACCTGAGAAAAACAAAAATTATAGGCAGGAGCAATCTATCCATGGGTGAACAGTGCCCCATGGGGAGGAAAATATAGCTCAATATTCTGCCCTATATTTTAACAATGTATGACTCTACTTTCTTACCATGATCCAGTATTATCAGCTGGGCTCCAGACTGTATATTTCCCACATCATTTTCCGCAATACACTGATAAAAACCTTCATCTGATTTCACCAAACCCAAAACCTGTAGGTTGTGCTCATTCTTTAAGAAAACAAAAGAAAACAAAGATGTACAGCATTCATTATAACGTACTCTAGTCACTGTTCAGGATTTTGGAAATAAAAGCTATAAAAATGAGAGAGAGGGGGAGAGAGGAAGAGAGAGGGAGGGAGGGAGAGATAGAGAGAGAGAGAGTTATGTATATTCACAACTATCTTTCCAGCCTTATCATTCTGACTTGTCCTTATTTTATTTCTCACTCCCGCTATTTATACCATTCAATGCTGACAGAAGTAATTTAACAAGTGCTTTGTTATTTATTTACTTCTGTCATTTGTGTATTGCCCAATCTGCAAGAATTCCTGCTGCCTTACGGTGATCTCCCTTTGGTGGCTCAACCTCTAGCTGTTCTGCCCTATCAGCAAGGCTGGGAAAAGACATTTTGCAGGCAAAGGGCAAGGCAGGGCTGCCTTTCAGTTCAATGTCCATAAAGCAACTGAACTGTAACACCATTTTTTGTTTCAACACTAACAACTTGATTGCATTCTTTCCTAGGCTATCCACAGATAGCAGGTTGGCCCATGTCTTCCAACATTCCGGCTGAAGCAGTTGCTATACTTTATCTAAAGATAGATTGATCTTCTCTTTTCTCTAGTTTTGCTGTCATAAACTTCTAGTTGTTAGCTTTTCTTTTCTGCCATTTTACTACCATTGAGGATTTTAAGCTTGACTATAATGAGGGGACAGATGGGGAAAAAATTTGCTCCTTAGAATTGTACTCCCCATGCCTTCAAATGAAACATGAATCTAATGACAGTACTCTTTGGAAAATAATCTAAAACTGAACTGGTACATTTTTTTAGTGTCTTAGCTCTAGGATGCGGTTCGTATCAACTGTATACCTGGAAATATGTTCAGCTTAAAGATGAGGAAGAAACAGTCATGTGACGCAAAAAGCTCTTCCAATTATCTAGGTGCAAACTGTTGTGACTGTGCTATTTGAAGGGAAAGAGTTTTATATTTACACTTTTTAGGGAAATATGTTAGTGATCCAAACCATTTGGCATTCTTTTAAGCTTGAGCTTGTGACAATTAAACCAGACCAAATGCCTTATTAAATATGTACTTACTACAATTTTAAAGTAGTCACTAGGGATGACCACATCTCCATTCTTTACCCATTTGACCACTGGAGTTGGCTTTCCACTCACATCACATTCAAACACAATATCCATGGATTCGTGTGCATAAATATTAGTGGGCTGCTTCAGAAACGTGGGAGGCACTTCAAAGTGAGAGAAAGGTCAATTACTAATTATTGATCAAACAAAAAAAATTGCTTAATTGGACAAGATGATATCTTTCATTTATATTTCAAAGATATCTAACTTTATTCTAAGAGACTTTCCAAAAATGAATGGTTATTGGTAAAAAAAAACAAATAATTAAACAATACAATTTTACTAAGGATAACCTGTGGGAGATTTTTTTTTTTTTAAAAAAAATATCAAATTATATTTTAAACAAACAAAATCCAATTTATGAGAAGCAAAGGTGAACTTTAAAGCTTACTTTCATATTTCCTGTCATTGGCAACTATCTTATGAAATCTCAGTTAAAGCTTTCGGCAATATTTTTTATATCTATCCGCAGGTCAAGACCAAATGTCCTGCTTTAATGAGTGTAATACAATTCTGAGTGTCTAAGTTCAAGCACATGCTCAAACGTCACCCACAAATGACCTTTTCTGAGTTGGCAAAGGGAATAATTTTGTTTTGTATGAAATAAGTGAGCCGCATCTACCGGTATGATGTTTTAGTCAGCAACACCAGACCCGATTCAAATAAATGGATCTGAAATATATTCTAACCATGAATGTTTAGAATTGTACTGTTGGAACTGTACACAGTAATGTGCATCAATACATCTGCCTTTAGTTTCTACAGGTCCCATTACCTTTCATAACTTGCTAATAATTTGCCATTCCAGAGCCAAAAGAAGATATTTTACAAAACATCCCCTTCACTTTTAATTTTAAGATCAATGATTTCAGATAAGTGCCAGAAGAGAAACACAAAATTGCCCATTGTTGTAGAATTTAAAACTGGAAAAGCAAATACACTATTGCCAGGATATAATCTTTTAAAACTGGCAAGCTATCAAAAACAACAGCTGGCATAAAGCTTTGTTAATATATTATAAATCAGTTTTTAAGACATCCTAGTTGAAATCTAAAAGCTATCAAATACAATTCTCTTGAGTATCAACAACACTACCACAGATACTTTATGTATATCCATATCAACTACTCAGGGATATATTTTGGTCCCAAGGGATTTGATGGGAAGCTCTTACTGAAGAAACCATTTTTCACAAAAAATGAATCACTATCTTGGTTTTAAGTTTCATAATACCTCTTCATAAAATTAAAAACAAAGCAATTCTCATTATTTCTAAATGATGTCTGTAAAGAATTAAAACAAGAAGACTGTTGATAAACAATGTTACTTTGGGTATGTATCTGTCAATATTTCCATCTTGTAACTCTCATTTAAAGCCGAGAACAATTTGTAACATGGCAAGGATGCTTTTGAAAATAATTCTGCCACCAGAGCCGGCTGCATTATACGGAGGCTGCACCCGCCCCAGCTCCAGCAATGTGAAAAAAGTTGCGATACGTCGCGACATGTCATATGACGTGGCAAGTTTGACACCCGTGTACTAGACAATCTTAAGATTTCCCAGGTGTCAAACAAAAAGGCAGAGGAACCACTTAAAGGTGATTATAAAGGCTTTTGCTTTATTTCATTCAATGAATGAGAGCAATAGGAATGTTCTAAGTTCACACACACTACATGGAATCAATCCCATTTTTTAGCACTGAGATATTCTTTGAATCAGCTTATAGACCCTGTCTGCAGGAATAATCTGAAGGCCCTATCAGTTCATTTACGTTTTTCAAATGTTCATTTTAAATCTTCACTTAAAAAGAAGAAAAAGAAACTCCACTTGATAGAATTTTTTAATGATAATGTTTGACACTGACAGGCCAGGAAACTCAAAAACCAATGGAATTTGCGTCATACCATTTTCAGGAATCTCCTGCAGAGCTAAATACAGTGGCTGACATTCCCAGCTGAAAAGTGAACTTATAACCTTGTCTTCCTCTGTCTGTCTCCACTGTTACTTCCTGAATTACAGTGATAAAAGAGAAAACTGCCTTCTGATCATTTATACGGGGGAAATCTGGTAAGTGAGATCAGATCAATTTCCTCTTCTTTAATGTACCTTTTAGCACAGAACCCTAAAATTGAAAGTTGGAAATTTACAGAGGTCGAAAGTTGTTTGAGAGCGAGTTTGGTGTCAGGAGCAGGCTAGACACCAGGAGACTGGGAGTTGTAGTCCTGGTTTAGGTGCAATGCCAGCTGGGTGACTTTGGCAAGCAATTCCCTTTTATCCCTAAGAAGGAAGCAACTGGCAAACCATTTCTAAAAGTGTTTCCACGAAAAGTCCATGCAGACATCAGAAGTCAGGACTGATGTTTAGTACATACAGTATACAGGTGGATAATATTATCCACCTATATATGTACTACACAGTCTTTGTGTACATTTATCCAGATAATCTACCTTACTATATAAAAAAATGTGTGTCTCTATTGAAGAATACAGTACACTCTTGGGATTAAAAAGTTCTTGTTATCTTCAAGCCACAAGATAGCAATGTCAGCTGTGTATTTGCAAAGTAATAAATGGAGCATCTTTATCCACCGTAGACCATCTGTTTATCTGTCTACCTAGCACTGTTTTCAAGGTGGAATCTTTCCAGGGGTTTAGGCTGAGCTCTTTCCCAACTGTGTATAGAAATGTTATAAATTTAATTTGCAAAAGATTTATTATTCCACTGCTAAGCTACAATAATACTCTTGCTTCAGTCATACTGCTCTCCAGATACCTGGGATCAGTAATCATAACTACATTTATTTTGCTTCTAAACAAAACAATGGTGTTTTTTTTTTAGAGTTCAACTGCCTCAGCTATATTAGCACGGATTTTTTTTAAAAAAAGTATATATATCCATATATATAAATATATATATATACCCTGCACAGTAAGATCAGCTGGAGCTTCAATAGTTTCATTCCCATTATCTGCGATGCAAGTATATGTTCCTGAATCATCTTCGCTGATAACATTTATCTTCAGAGTTCCCCCAGACAGGAATAGAAATTTGTGAGAACTGTATAAAACAAGACACATTGCTGGAGTGATTTTTTGTTTTTCGAAGTGTGAAGGATTTGGAGTTTTTAAACAATACAAACATTTACAACATTCTTCGGAAGCCCGAATATCTATTTTTAATGTTCTTTCTCTCAAACCATTTTCAACTGAAAATATTCCGGTTGAAAATCTGCGCTAATTATTACAGGTGATATAAGTCAACATTGCCATAGCAACTATCCAAGGCTTAGGAATGTTTAAAGAGTTAATAACTGGCACAAAAACAATAATTAAAACAAAAGCTCCAATGAACAAAACTAAAAAGCACTGAGCTATGATAACATACAACAGCCTGAATACCAAGGGGGGAAAAAGTGGGGGGGGAGGAATATTTCCAAAGTATATATAGTTGTGTCATCAAATACTGTATGGCTTAGAGATTGGAAAGCTAGATAGATTTATAGCACAACAAGGCATTTGGTTGCATGGATCATGACAGAATATGAAATAAGTATCAAGATAAAATAACCTTTATTGTCATTTTTTACTGTGAGCACACAGACACACAGTAACAATGAAATTATGTTGCCTGATCAGCATGGCCATTCATCCAGGACCTGACAGTTGCTCCCTAACGGAGCTGTGCCCTTTCCTAATCTAGGATGACGCATTTTTTAAATAAGGCGGGCAGCCCTACTGTTGTCACTTCAATGCTTTCTTAACTCTTAAGACCCAAGTTTGATCCTCTTTCATCAACATTTTTAGGGTTGTCAGGTCCCTCTTTTTAGCCGTTTCCATGAAACGGGATAGTAGTTGCTGGCTCTGTCTGCTCTCCAGTTATCTCCCAACAGCAACGATTTCTGTGACTTCCACAGGGAACATCAGAATTAAAAACTCACTTTTCGGTAACAAGCTCTTCTTCGTTTCTTGTCCATCGGATTAGAGGGACAGGAATGCCCGCAGCAACACACGGTAAAACTGCGCTCTGCCCAATCACCTTGGTAAGGGAAAAGGGCTGTTTCAGGAAGAGCAAGTCTGAAGAAATGTCAGATTCTGCAAATAATATCATCAGGAAATAGCAGGTTACATTAAATGAAAAGTGATGGCAATGTAATGTTCTAACTAGTAGTTCACTTGTTTCCAATTAAATATTTCACAGCAAATTAGAATTAGACAAATGTACTTGAAACTGGCATAAATACTGGCCTTATCTTAGTGCAATGGTGGCAAACCTATGGCATGGGTGCCAGAGGCGGCACTCAGAGCCCTCTCTGTGGGCACGCGCGCCATCGCCCCAGTCCTAGGCCTTCAGCTGGGTTTTATAAAACCTTTTCGCTTCAGGTCTCCGCCGCCGTGTACAAAAAAAAAGGGTTCAATCAGTCAATTTCAATTTCTCGCGGGAGAAAAAAGATCTTGCAAAGTTGGAATTGATTGATTGAACTTTTTAGTCCCACCCAGTCTGCCTTTACCACCGCAGCCAGGCCCACCCAATGGGCCACGCCCACCCGGCACCCAACAATGCATAAGTGGGTTTGGGGTTGCAGTTTGGGCACTCGGTCTCTAAAAGGTTCGCCATCACTGCCATAGTGTCTAAAACTACATCTGTCTTGCACAAACAGGTGTATAATAAGTTTTGTTAATATTCAAGAAACCTCCTGGCAAGAAAATTGAAACCTTTAGAACAGAGGTGTCCAATCTTGGCAACTTTATTCCCCAGCCAGTATGAAGTCCACAGGTCTTAAAGTTGCCAAGATTGGACGCCCTTGCTTTAGAATAAACTTTTATAAGGACTTTTAGAGGTCCCAGAGAAGCATCCATTTCAAATTAGCAAGTTTGAATGCCAAGTTTTTAGAATTTCTGACACCCATTACTCGTGACGCGCAAGAAAGAACTAGGAGAGGAAAAAACCTCAGCACACGTGCCTGTACCTGGAAGAACTTTAATCTCTGCTTCGTCACTGTATTTGGGAGAGCCACCAATTTCAATAACACAACAGTATGTTCCGGCGTCCTCATCTGTAGCATTGCTGACAATTAAAGTTCCACTTGGCAATCTGAGTACACGATCATCCAGAAAGAGGGGCTGATGATTCAACTCCCACCTGACAAATGGTGCTAGATCAGCATTAACTTCACAGTTAAGAACTATGGGGTTTCCTCTATGGACAGAGGCAGACTCTGGCTGGGTAATGAATCTTGGAAGCCCTAAAGGACAAAAAAAGAAAAATGAAAAAAAGCCCAAACAAGTAAACAAACAAAAATACATTCCTATATCTTTTCTTTTGCCCTGAGAAATTAAAACAGTATTTTAAGCTAATATTTTTATGCAAAAAAAAGATTCATAAATTCATTGTCCAGGTGTCTTGTGAACATTAGGAATGCAAGTTCTTCTGTTATTAAAGATTCTAGTTTACCTCTGAGAAATTACTTTTGAATGCCATAACCAATAATGAGAGAGTAGAAACTGATATCATACAGCTGCTCCATGTCATATATTTAATTAAATTAGAGCCTAATTGGAACCATAGATTAAAATCAGAAGGGACAAAGTAGCATGTCAGATGAATAGTTAAGTACAGCGAAAAAATTCATGAACTAAAAAGAAAAACATAAGAAGAAAAGCTGTGATAAAATATAAAAGAATAATCTTGGGCCAGTCTCTCTCTCTCTCAGCCCTGGGAAGCAAGCAATGGCAAACATTTCTCCAAAATCCTACCAAGAAAACTGCAGAGAGTAGAACAGGAAGTAGCCAGGAATCAACATTGACTCAAAGGGACAAAAAAAAAAGTCACTAACAGAAGTACAACACAAGTATTTATTCCGCGGGTGAGTCCATAAACGGCAACAGCATAAAATATTGAATTTGCATAGCTGCCATCCAATAGTTATTATAGTAGTATCCCTTGGAAAGCTTATTATAATATACCACATTTTTACTTCTAGTATTATAAAAATGCAAACATTTAGATGAATGGTCTAGAATCAATCATGCTGGAAAAAAAATCTTTATAGCCTAAATATGAAAAAACTATAAATAAATAAATAAATAAATAAATAAATAAATAACAATATCTCCAATGGCTAAGAGTAGGAAAGTTAAGGAAAGAGACAGAGGGGCTTAATTCTGGCTGCACAAGAACAAATGTACATAAAGTCAACATTGATAAAAGAGCAACAGATGGCAAATGCCGCTGCTTCAAAGAAGGAAAGTGTGGGCCACCTAGTTAATTGCTGCCAAAAGATCACACAGACTGATTACAAGCAGCACCAATAACAAAGTAGCAACAATGGTACATTGGGAGATCTGCAAGGAATACCATTTGTCTGCAAGCAAGAACTGGTGGGACCACAAAAGAGACAATCATAGAAAATGAAGAAGCTGAAAGTGCTTTGGAACTTTAGAATTCAAACTGACAAGCAGCTGCCACATAAATCCCAAATAAAAAATCTATATAAATAAAAATGTAAATGTTCGTTTGTTCAAAATCTTAAATCTCCGAAAGTTCTTCACCGATTGCTTTGAAATGTTGACACAACGTTGCATTCGAATACGGGCGTGTTTCTATATACCTACTATTATATAGATGTCACACCTGTGACAGGTAAAAACATGCTTTTTTTGAAAAACAGCGCCATCTGTTGGACGTAAAAGCAACACACTTCTTTTCCATTTAACCAGACTGAGCCACAGCAACGCGTGGCTGGGTACAGCTAGTTATTGATAAAAAAAGACAAAGAAATCTGACAGTAGATGTTGCAATACCTGGAGGCAGCAGAATAGAAAAGAAAGAACTGGAGGAAATCAAAAAATACAAAGACCTGCAAACAGAGGTAGAATGACTGTGGCAAAAGAAAGCAAAGATAGCACCAATAGTCATAGGCACCTTGGATGCAATCCTGAAACATCTGGAGCACCATTTGAACACCAACAGCATTGACAAGATCACCATCAGTCAACTGCAAAAAGCAGTTTTATTTGCAACAGCTTATATATCCTGTGATGATACCTTTAACACCAACATCTGCCTATCCCAGGTCCCTGGGAAAGATTTGATAGGTGGATAAAAATGTCAAATCTGCAACCAACCATACTAATGCTATACTCTTTTCTAAACATTGAGAAATGAAAGAGGAAACTATAATTGCAAATGGTAATCAAAGTAACAATTCACCTAGATAGAAAAAGTTTTTTTAATGCCTTAAAACAGTTCATGGCTAATAATTCTTTCGAGATATGTAATGTACTATAAAAATAATTTGGGCTGCACAAATTTGCTGAAAAGCAATATGTTCAATTAAAAACATATTCTGACTGTTTAATCTGAAGCTGGCAAATTAGCAGCTTCTAAAATTCCCAAATTATTTGACTGAGAAATGTTTGTTTGACTGGAAGATGTCAAAGCTCACAAAGTAATGAGGAAAGTAATAACATGAAGGTTCATTACTTTCACTCTCTATTATAAAAAGTAGGCTTTTGATTTCCTGACAGCTTGAAAAAATCAGAGGACAGTAACAATGATCTCATGAGACAGATCATCTCCCAAATTAAATGAGAATCTTGGCTATCAGAAGGGCCGGAGACCATACTTCCATCTTGTCAGTAACAAAGTATTATTTTACTAGAGGTGGTTGGGAAATGGCTGTGCAATACACTCAAACATAAGGCATTCTGTAATGATATCAGGCAGGAAAACCCCTGAGGAGGAAAAACACCATAGCTGCTTCATGTGGAAAAGTCTGAGGCAATGCTCACCCAACCTCTCATTGTTCTCTATTTCACTTTAATATTTTTTTAAAAAAAAATAGGAAATGACCTCCATAGAGTGGGGAGGAAATGGCGGAGTCAGGAATTATACTAGGTTATTTAGCTATTTAATGTGTACCTGTAACTAACCTCAATATGAATAAATCAAAATGATATATAATATAAACCAGACATAGACCTTGACTTATGACTACAACTGAGCCCACAATTTTGACTATAAGTTGTAATAGTTGTAAGTTGAGTCACCAGGTGACTGGACTTGATTTATGACTAGGAGGCAACCCCTACACCAGGGGTAGGCAACTTCGGCTCTTTTATGACTCATGGACTTCAACTCCCAGAATTCCTGAGTCAGCTATGCTGACTCAGGAATTCTGGGAGTTGAAGTCCATGAGTCATAAAAGAGCCGAGGTTGCCTACCCCTGCCCTACACAATTTACTATAAATCTAAGATTATCACTAAAACCTCTCCTAAAGTTAACCCTCTAAAGCAGTGTTTCACAACCATGACAACTTAAAAGTTATATCGACTTCAACTCCCAGAATGTCCCAGTCAGCCATTTTCCATGCTGGCTGGGGAATTCTGGGAGTTGAGGTCCACACATCTTAAAAGTTGCCAAGGTTGAGAAACACTGCCCTAATGCTTCAAAGCAAGAAGTGGTCTCTGGGGACTGCCCCTTTTTAAAATAGACATTGCTTTTTTGGACGACTGCCTTCTCCGCCTGTTTCTCCTGTAGTACACAATCTATATTTATTTCTGCAGAAATGTTAACCTCAGATTTGGAAAATGTAGGCAATAGATATCCAAACAAGGTTTTCACCTGCAACTGTAAGCTTAGCTGTCCTGCTTACAATGGTGCCAAGATTCTCCACCGTTGCCACACACTGGTAATGGCCTTCATCAGGTTTATTGTGCTTGGAATGGACAACGCTGTTGATTAACAAAGATCCATCTGGTAATAACTGCCGGCGGTCATCGGATACCAAGTTCAAGAAAGTCCCATCCTTTCTCCATTCAATTTTTGGAGGTGATTCACAATATGCTGAACAGTTCAGTATAACAGAAGAAGCTCTAACTGACAGAGTGTCCACTGGTTCTACTAGGAAATAAAACGGAGTAAAGGTTCTCACTGTGGATTCTATAAGAGAAAGAGAGAGAGAGAAAGGGTGTTATTTAGGGCATTCCAAATATATTGTGCAGAAATCTTAAATTATTACAGATATAAAAAAAGACCTTCACTGCTCCAAAATCTACCTTCCCTGTGTATCATACTAAAAAATCCTCAATAATAATAATAATAATAATAATAATAATAATAATAATAATAATAATAATAATAATAATAATAATAATAAAGTTGGAAGGGTCCTTGGAGGTCATTTAGTCCAACTCCCTGCTCAGGCAGGAAACCCTATAACATTTCGTTCAAATGGCTGTCCAGTCTCTTCTTAAAACCTTCCAGTGTTGGAGCATTCACCACTTCTGGAGGCAGGTTGTTCCACTGGTTAATTGTTCTAACTGACAGGAAATCTCTCCTTAGTTCTAGGTTGCTTCTCTCCTTGATTAGTTTCCACCCGTTGCTTCTTGTCCTGCCTTCAGGCGCTTTGGAAAATAGCTTGACTCCCTCTTCTTTGGGGCAGCCCCTGAGATATTGGAACACTGCTATCCTGTCCCCCCTCGTCCTTCTCTTCGTTAAACTAGACATACCCAATTCCAGCAACCGTTCCTTGTATGTTTTAGCCTCCAGTCCCCTTACATGAAGAAGGCTAGATTAGCAGAAGAAACCATAATCCAAAAGTCCAAAGAATGACTTTTGCAACCTGGCAGGCAAATACTAGAGAAGAGACGGAAAAAGCAGTAGCAGCTTCTAGGCATTTTGAAAGAAAGCCTCTAGTTATTCTCCTTTTTGGAGGATGGAACAAGTGTCTCACAGAAGCCTTGGCTTCAGGTGAATATACATTGCCCTTATATTCTTTAAAAAAAAGAGAGACAGAGTGAGCAACATTGTGTGTGCCACTAGAAAACATATGGCCCCCAAATTAGCATGCACATCTTGTAATATGCCATGCTCAGATATTAATAAAAACCCTGATCTCTCTCTATCAATACAACTGTAAATAAAAATAGGAGAGAAAAAAATGCAGATCATGGCTTCTGGGATTCTTTCCAACCTTTTCATCAGAACTGGCCACAGGAGGCATCTATATTCTTTTCTATCTGACCGAGTACAGTAATCTGTTGAATCTCTAATATACAGTGGAAACCACAGGGCTAGTAGCATGTGCTTTATTATACATCACATGACCAGAAGAAAGGTGGCGTTGGAATGGAACAATCAGCAACATTTTGAGCACCTAACCAACTGTTCTATCACTGGGGTTCACTGGAATTTTTTATGGAAAGTTTTTCTCCATAAGTTTCACAGATCCAGCCCATTACTAAGCTCAGTGTGTTGCTTGCCAGCTTCCCCTGTTCTGTTCACTTTGCAGATAATTATCCTGTAAATCAACAGGATCTGGAGAACCTTTATATCATTTATTTCCAACATTTCAATGGAATTGAAAGAATAAAAATGAAGATCAATTCTGCACAAAACCTTTAATTAAATTATGCAAGATTCTGCTGCTGTGTTAATAGTATCTTCCCTCCCTTGTAATATCATTGATCCAAAAGAGAATGTGCTTTGTTTTTCCAATATTTTTATATAGTAACTGTGGCATTTAACAACAAAAATTAAATTAGGCCTTTTATGTATCAATGAACTTAATGCAGGTCCTAATGTGGTTTTCTTATCAACGCATCTTACAATAACTACAGGATTTAGAATTTAATATTTCATATTCCATATGAACAATTTCATGAAAACTTTTAGAAATTATTTTGCACCTTGGGGAAGATCTTAAGAGTGGGGGAAACCCTTAACGTAGAAAAAGAGATTCCACCGCCACATACGTTTTCCCCAAATCATAAGCTCTCGCAAGTACAGCATTAAACTAGGCAGGAGAATTAAAACACTGTAACAAATAGAACAATAAGCAGGACAAAGGAACAATTCATAAAGATTTACTTATCCTCTTTGTTCTCCTTGTGCATTACAGTAACATCATAGCCACTAGATGGCATTCAAACCAACAAAATAAATGCCCAATGGTGCTCAAAATTAAAATCTTGCACTGCTGTAGGACTGCTCCTTCATGGGCAAAGTGTCAGATGCTCACTTCTAGTATATTTATACGATTTCAGAGGTTAGGTCAAGATATTTTTATTACAATTCTGAAGCCTACCTTCTAAAGATTGTTATATTTACACATTAAATTTCCTCTTCCCTATGTGTGTATTGGCTACAAGATACAGAAGAGAAAACAATAATGTAGTCAACAAATCTAACCCATAAATACAGCTCAAGCTGAACAATAACTTAGGATGTATTAAAATGTTGATATGTCTTATATATTAAGGAAGTCAACTCTTGGTTCTTCAAGGTCATTACTGATCCCTTGCCTAGCCAACCGATCTTGGGGTTCCAGCAGAGTTCCTTCTCAATTACTAACAAAACTTTAGGGATACTAATGTTACATTATTAAGCTACTCCTCCTCTCTTGCCTGTGAAGAGCATCCTATCTTGTTAAAAAAAAACGGTGCAGCGAATAGGTACTCCCTGCCACTGCAGTCAGAACTACAAGCATGCAACCTAATAACGAAAGCAATAAGGATGCACAGTTTGGAGAAATTTATATTGTCTGCAGCAATTGACAGCTCTGCTTGGGTCTGCTAATTCTCCATGTATAAACTGGAAAAACGCTTTGCATTTTAAGGATATACATTCTGGCAAATGTAGGCCTTAATTGCCAATTGGAGACAAAATGCTAAAATAACGTGTCAGAAACTGAGGCAATACTCTAACAGCTTTGTTTAAAAGCTTATTAAGAGTGGAAACAAAAGGTGTTCCACACGAGCCGGACCCCCAGCCAGTGGGGGGCTGGGGAGAGAAAGGTTTCTCTACTGAATCATCCACCTTCCCCTATAAGGGAGAAGAGGTTGGGGGGGAGGCAGCTGGCATTCCGCCCGGCTGCTCTAAAAGTAGCTCCTTGTGACTGTGGTGGTAAAGGCAGTCCCCGCTCCAAAATTATTTCCGTAAATCACGATCTGGATTTCAGCAACAGCTTTCTTTCATCAACACTAGCACCGGATTCCAATTCCACAGCCAAAATATATATAGGAAATTGATTCACCGGACTCTCAAATGTCCAACTGATTTAGAGTCAACCTGATCCCCTTTTAACCATTCAAGTCAACTTTCTGATTTGGTCCGGAAAGTTGAGTTGATTCAACAATGTGACTGAAATCGGCTTTGAACAGAATCACCAAACTTGAAGTTTCGCACAGCCCTATTTACTCAAAAAATAAAAATAAAAATGAATTTATCTCCTCAATGCATTCTTTCCCTTTTTTAAAAAAAAATGATGTGAAAAGACAGGGGAATTGTACAAGTAGTGGCTCCTTGCACTGGTTGGCTAGCTTTTTCCAAGTACAATCCAAGGTGCCGATTTTGATCTTTAAAGGCCTATTTACATTTTTAAAGCCCTGAATAATCTTGACACTTCCTATCTGCGGGCCTGATTATACCTATATGAGCCTACAGAGAGATAAGAGGAGGCCTCATTCACTGGCTTATCATGTATCTTACTAGATAATAAAGTTCTCCCAGCAACAATCCCTTTCCCTTGCCATTTCCTCTCTTTGCTTTGAAGACTAAAGACACATTTTTCTTCCCAATCTGTATTTGGCAATTTAAAAAGATGACAATAAATGAAACCAGCTTTTTAAAGATAATTTCAGAATAATTACTTCTGTGTTAGAATTGCCTGGGCTATCTTGGGAGTCCACAGTAGATTTCAAAATCTCCAGATAATTGACTAAACAAAATGAAATTAGTTGGTAGTTTTGTGCAACACTTTTGGAACCAGGCACAGTATTTCTGCATGCATCGACAACTGACTGCAAAGAATATTCTGTACGCGCATTTAGATATGTAGATCTGTTCCCTTTTCACTGAGCTACCGGTATATAGAACAAGCAACATGCAACAAATTCATTTCAAGGTATCTTTCTGTTCCCATTGTTTTGCATGTATGGTTGCTTGCCTAGTCTTGCTACAAAGAAGCACAGCTTATTCAAACCGTTTACATATTGTCAACACCTCTTGCATCTGCATCAGTCAACTTTCAGTATGTAACTCTTGTAATGTTTACTGAAGGTCACTGACATCAATCCCGTCTTTTGACAGACAGGCACAGCACTGAAAGAGTCCTAAGAACAGGGACTTGGCTGAAGGGATTTTGCTTAGTAGAATACAAATAATAAGCGTGATCATTTTAACCTCTGTTATGATCTACATGGAATAAGGAAATCTATCTCAATTTCTAGATTACAATCAAAAGGAAAAAACAACGTTAAAACAGAGGAACTCTGCTGGAACAATTGAAGTTGTTAAAGAAAGCAAAGGATGTGCTACAGCCAATCAGTTAAAATACAGCAAACAAAATTTCATTAATTGTCCTTTCTGCTGTTGTTTCCCAATAACTGATACCAAATAAATTTTGATATCGGTCACTGTATTGATTATGTCACTATGGCGATTAATAACTTTGATAGATTCATCCTTTATCTCTTTTAAAAGGGGATTAAAATAATTCAGGTGAGTGTTAATCAGTAGACGTTATCACAGCATATTCCCTGACTTAACTATGAAATTTCTTTCAAAATATAAGAGACAAGAGTTAGGTAGAATATTTCAAATGTGCCACATACACTATATACGCCTATCACAACAAAGGTAATTACTATATGTATTTCCCAATTACTCATTGCCAACACTAACCCCCTATCCATTATTATTAAATTCCTCCTGGATTTTAATTATTCTGGATCAATATGGCCCTTGTTAGAGAAATGAACGTTAAGAATTAATTTGTTCCATAAGGCAATGTTAATCTTGATCTAATGCAATGAAATTAATCTTATAGTCTCTCTCATTGGCCAAATATTACTTAAAGTCTCCTATAATAACAGGAATCATTTCTCCTGGCAATAAATTTTATGCTAATTATTTATAGTATATAACACCTTGCATCTGTCCTGTACCACTTCTAAT